TTGCCCATGTTTAAAAGTGGTATAAAACTATTAAGGGAATGCTTATTCTTTCCTGTAACAAGTTCAAGAATGTCAAGCATGCTGGTGCACATTTGCTTACAACTTACTCTTGGTTCTGACATGTGTCAGGGGACCTGTCTACCCTCAATGGAAGGACCAGGTTCTTAAACCTTACGCTCTACTACTTGCATTGAATGATTGCGTAACTGTTTTTTTTTAAAAGGCTGAATTTATTTGTGCTGACTCTGCTGTCAGGTAATTAGTGTCTCTGATGTTGCTTCTGGTGTCACAATTCTGTCAGTTCTCAGGGACCTTCTTAGCAAAATAATAAGGCAGAGAAGATATGAACTTAAAGCGGAGTTTAAAACCAAGCAAAAAAAAAAGTCTAATGTCCATTTCATACCTTCTTTCTACATAAAAATGACAAAAAAGAGATCACAGGCTGTAATCTATGCCTTCTTCATTAGCTATAAGTGACAAGATAGACTGGTTTCTATTTAATACGAAAACTAAGTCAGTTGAGTCAGGCTGAGCATATCTTTCTTCTTAAGCATCACCATTTGTGCTAGCTGTGACTGTGCCAAAAAAAGCAAGTTGTAATGAATAATATTTCCAGAAAATTAATCAGATAGGCATTATAATTATAAAAGGCCCGTGAACCACACAGAACACTAGCCTGATACATCAAATATAGATTTTTTTTTTTCTGTTGATAGAAAAGCACTATTTTTGATCACAAAACCAAGCAGTTTTCCCACTGACTTCTAGGATAGTCTGGAATCATCACCAGAGGACTCCTTGTTTAATCTGCTGTGTCATATAAACACACATTTCTCTTACAGAGGGCTACACAGAGTGCTGATGTGTACTACAGGCCAGAGCTGAATAAATCCAAGGAAATCAGAATCTCTCCATTGACTTGAGTCTGCATGTGACTTCAAAGAAGGCAGACCCCTGCTGATTGACAATAAATTCACTCTATTCAGTTCAACACCAGCATAAAAAAGCTTAACTCTCCTTTACAAAAGGCTGTAATCTTGTCATAGTGAGTTTAGTGTTGTAAACCATTAATAAAAATGGTCTTAAATATTCTTATTTAGCTTCATGATATTAATCAGGGCTTTCCTGCATATTAGTCCTTTTGTAAAAGGAAATTATTAACCGTCCCGACCAAGTAGGAAGCAACGCACTCAAGGTATGAGCATCCCATTGCTAAGAAAAGAGGAAAGGTAAAATCTAATTAAAATCAGCTGGTGGCTTTTATGGCTGGCAGTAACACTACTTGGAGCAATTTTAAAATCACTGTTGCTTTGTTGCTGGTGTAATGGCTTTTAAATCATACCTAGGAATTTGGGGAGTGTGTATAAAAAACCAGTCCTTGGGATCGCCTTTCCTCTCCTTTACTCCACTAGAAAGGGATCAATTCGAATGACCCAAAAACCTGTGCAATAAGCAGCAAAGGTGTAACAGTTTATCTGAACGCCTTTTTTATTAGCGCTTTCATTTTTTTTGCTTCTCAAAACTGGCTCTATTCTTTGTTGATGACAGGCAAAGGTGGTCTATAAAGTGTAACAGAAATAACGAGACGTAAACACTAAAATTCCATCACGGAAATATTCTTAAAAACGGAAAGGGAAAAAGATCTACACTGTGGCCCAGGAAACCATTTCCTAGTACTTATACATATGTCTTGACGCAGATCTCATTCTGCAGTGATTAATTAACTTTTTCACTAATATATGCAAGCAGATTCAGTTTCCTAGGGGCATTCTAATTAATTAGTTTTTCGCTCTGAATAATGTAGCTTTTCTAAACGGAAGCCTCCTGACTAGATGTATTAATGGATTCTTTAAAATCTTTTGGCAGTTTTCTTATGTTCTGCTTTGAATGTCACAACAGTGAAGTGCTAGCTACAAAAAACACTCCAGTAACTTTTGAGAAAGGCTTCAAGGCTAAAAGAATCAGCAGTATCTTTTATCTTTTGTTACTTGAAGTTTAAATAATGCTCTCCCTCCCTCCCAAGTCAGCAAATAGTACAAAGCCAAATCAAGCTCAAGTTTAAGTAAAGAAAGAAAACAGCCAGATACAAATGAAATGCAGAGACACAGTGATCCAAAATAAACAAATCCTGACACACATCATTACTAAAGCACACACAGAGGCCATTATAGTGGCTAAAAGGGAATGGAAAACTAGAAGCCAACAGTATCAGTTTTCACTGCAATGTCCCTATTTGTGAGGGGGAGCTGAATATTTAGTAACTTATTTATTTAGTTTCTGTCTTATATTTATGCATTTATTTAGGTATTTTCAATTCCCAGTTAGAACTCCAGGCATTTGCATCACACAAAATCAATTGGGTTTATCCTTCAGTCCCCATTTAAGATGTTGCATGTTTACTGAGCTTCTGAAATGATAAACTCAATCCTCTTAGCTTTACTACTGTAAAATTGCAGACACTGTTCTTCAGCCTGCAGAACAAGGCGTCCCCAAATACTGAAATATCCATTTCTACAGAACTCCAGTATAACATAAGATAAAACCAAACAAAACCCACCACTTTGCTCATACTGGGCAATCAATCCAGCAACTAACTACTGTGTACAATACCAGTTCTTTCTTTCTTTCTTCCAAAATACACTGTCCATCTTCCTTGTATTCAGACCAACTGTGCTTAAAGACTATCAACTGTCCCTAGATTTACAAGCCTGATGAAGCCAAATTAACATCGCTGAGGAACACAAAACACTTTACTGTACTGAAGTCTTGGCAACTGACATTTTTCTGGTGGCTTTTCCTAGTTTGCCACTGTTAAATCTCAGCAATAGCTGGCTGGCTTTAAGTTGTCTAGACATCAGAAGAGCTCTGGTTTTAGGCAAACTGCCTTAAATGATATAGGCAATGACCTCAAATGAGCCTTCGAAAGAAAACTACTGTGCTCCCTGAAAGCATTTGTGTCATCTGTGCTCCCTAATGATTTTCTATTAAGATTTATATATAGTGCTTTTGCACTGTGAATGTCTCCAGCTGGTATAGAACTACAAATAACAAAGAGTAAGTGCAAAATTTTGCCCCCCTGCCATCAAACGCAAATGAGGGTGGATTTGAAAATGGCAACTACTTGCCAGTAATCACGAAAAACAATCCTAAACTGAAGGAATCCAAAACAGAATGTATCCACCAGAATGTATCTATCCCTTTTCAAAGTTGACTAGAAGACTGCACTAAGCATTTGTATTTCTCAAAAGAGCATGAAGGACTTCCGTGATCACATCTGACCCAGAATGTTTATTGCTTCATCTTTTAAATGATGATTTTTTTCCATCTGTGTGCTAGTTTTCTCCAGATGCATTTTCACAAAGTGTTTTTGGTGGATCCACATGTCATTGTCATGATTTGGTTTTTTTCTTCCTTTTTGTCAATGTTCTGTTTTTCCTCAGAGGTTCTTTATTGTATTCACAGAAATTTCTATGACTCATAATGCCTTCAGAACACCACATCATGTAAATAATCATCTAGCTAATCTGATTCTATGAAATATTCAAGTGTAGTTCCTGAGATCAACTTGAGGTAAAGTGTGAATTGATTATTTTATTAGTGAAACTATACTTTTATATGTTTTGACATTTTAATCAAAAGAACCTTATTTCTCCTTGTGCATTTTTCAAGCTCAAAGGATATATTCAAAGGCAGTGGAATTTCTGAGCCCATAAACTTTAGTAATTTAGTACTGTAGGAACTAGAGAAAGTTTTGGGCTTTGACAACTAATGTTTTCAGAAGCTAACACAAAAGCAAAATATCTGACATAATTTGAACTGTCATAGAAATTAAAGTACAGAATCATCTGTATTTTTTGAATTACATCTGACAGTTGTTATTCAAAAGCCCAATTTTTTTGTTAAATCAACAGCACAGGGACATGAAGAAAAAATATTATTATTATATAACTAAAGGCATAATTCATTATAAGAGGTGACTGCAAGACTACAGAACAAAGCTAATGATCATGGTGCACTGTATCTTTGTTACAAACATAAGGGTTTGCATTTCCCATAGTACTTGCTACACTGGGATCCCCTAACGCCTTCAAATAGCCTGAAATATCTAGTATGAGACACTATTTATGTACTTTTGCATATGTGGAAACTGGGGCACCAGCAGCTCATGCACCTTGCTCAAAACCTCCAGATCCAGACATTGATCCACAAGACTATTTTTACCCCTACTTCTAATGTTCTACAGCACATCACAATATAAACACATAGTCTTTGCAAACCTTTAAACTGAATCCAAGCTATCAAGCAAATGGTCAGAATGAATTTCTGGTTCTTTTGAAAATGATGCTACTTCTATGTGCAACACAGGCAAGCTATGGCTAATTGAAGCATCACACTTTTCCCACAGTCATTTCCAATTTGACAGCTAACAAAGGGGTAGAAGCAGTACCCTCCAGAGCAAAACATACAAACTCTTATCCCATTAGTTGTCACTTTTTTCCCACAGTCGGCTTCCTACATGAAGTCTTGTGTAAATCTAATCCCATCCAGTTAGAAAAATGTGAATTTATCCAATAACTTGGTTATTACTAGGTAGTTAATGTAAGTTCTTGAATTGCTAAGGTTGTGGGAAGTCACAAATTTGTTCCTTAACAAAATCTACTAGGCAATGCAAGACGTAGGCAGAAAAATAACTGCAGCATCTCATCACATCACTACACAAAAGCCAGGCTCAATCTAGGAGAAAAGAATGATAATAAATATAACACAATAGGAAAGAGCAATGTTACCATACTTTGAAAAATTTTTTAGTAATGTAATCGAAATTGCCTTATGCTGTATATAACAATGCATGACAGCTAACCAGTGCTTCTAAGTATATTACTATTTCCCTGGCCAGAAATCTGTACTGATAAGAAATGGCATCCCCTCACTCCATAATGTAAAACTCATTCATATCCCCCCACTCCACTCCAAATAGTGGTATTTCAAAGTGTCTCTTCCACGCACTTTCCTATCTCAAAAGAAAAATGTTATTTCTGAAAAATTTAAATGCTTGGGAATATAAGGATTTCCTCCTTAAGAAGAACATTTTCCTTTCCCCTTGGTTGAAACATTAAGTCATGATGGTTTCTAGCTGACATATCAATTATGATGGGTTGATGGGTCACAATACATTGCACTGCAGCAAATCATGAAGCATTAATCTTGGAAATTTGAGAGAGATTAACGCAGACAGACACATTTTGGCTTTGCTGGTTGCTGCAAATTATGTAAAAAATAAAACATAAAAATGAACCAAAGAGTACTGCAATTGTCTCATACAAAGTGATAATTCAGCTGAAACCCTTCTAAACATTCACCTAAAACTGGACACATGCAGAGTTCCTCAGTAAAGCTGGTTATGGGAAGAAAGCATGTAAGTTGTTTCTTACCTGTAATATGGTAGCTAACCTGCCGATTGACATCAGACGTGTCTTCATCCCAGGTGCTAAGAACAGCCACAACTTCCCCTGGAGGGTCACTCTCCTTCACTGACCCTCTGTACACCTCGTGCTCAAAGACGGGTGGATTATCGTTTATATCTGTCACAGTAACTGAGACCAAGGTGGTTGATGACAAGGACAAAGCTTCCCCCAGATCTGAGGCCACCACTGCAAAGGTGAAAGAAGGATCCTTTTCATGGTCCAGATCCTTCAGTGTACTGATCCAGCCACTGTTGCTATCAATGGTGAATGCTTCTGTGATCTTCTCCAGCTCAGATTCCACTGCAAGTGTGTAAGTGACCTGCCCATTTGCACTTGAGTCTACATCAACTGCTTTAACTTGCATAAGTTTTGTTCCTATGGGCATCCCTTCCATTATTATAGCAGCATAGCTAGCTGTTTCAAACACAGGCTTGTTGTCATTCACATCCAATACCTTCACCTCCACATCCACAGTCAACACAATGTCTACTTTGTCTAACTGAATTGTGGCAGCAACTTTGAAGTGAAAAGCAGAATTTACTTCGTGGTCAAGTCTCTTGTCCAATTTTATGAGCCCTGTGTCTTGCTCTATGATGAAAACCCCATCTTTGTTGTTTTCAGGTAGCTCACCATTAACAGTGCTATACAAAGCACCCTGATTGGGCAAAACATGCAGAATGTCAATGGTACTACCTATGAGAGTGTCTTCTGCTATGGTGAAAGAATACTGGGGTTGAGAGAAAGAAGGCAAAAGAATTTCTGGGGGTAAAACATGGATGTAGACAGGAATGAGGGAAGGTTTTACAGGAAGGCCACCATCAACTGCTTTGACGAAGAATGACAGAACTGTGTTTTTCAGCTGGTTAAAGCTACCCTTAGTGACCATCCATCCATTATCTGGATCTATTTCAAGGAGATCAGCTACTGAAACAGAGGCTTCACTATACAGAGAATAGGTAATTCTGGAATTGGCTCCATCATCTGGATCTACTGCTTGCACTTGGGTCACCAAGTAACCTTTCCCAGCATCTGCTTTGACACTTGCTCTGTATTCGACCGTCATAAATTGAGGAGCGTTGTCATTCTCATCCACTACTATCACTCTCACAGTACAAAAAGTAGTCCTGCCACCTCCATCGAGGGCTCTCAAAAATATACCAATATCACTTTCCAGTGGGTTCTCACGGTCCAACCTCTCAGTTGTCAGAATCTGCCCATTGCTATCAATCAAAAATCGGTCCTTGGCAAAGTCATTTATTATGGAGTAGCTTATCTGGCCATATATACCTGAATCCCCATCTGTTGCCTTCACATGGATTACCTTAGTTCCAGGAGCAGCATTTTCTCTAACCTCTGCAACATAAACACTCTGTGAAAACACAGGGCTGTAAAGGTTGGCCCCAAGGATCTGTATGTGCACCTGAGCTGTGCTGGTGAACAGCCCGTCTGACACGGAGACGTTTAGGCTGTACATGGGCTCCATTCTCTGTTTGCGATGGTTGGAAAGGGTGATAACACCGCTCTTGCTGTCCATAATAAAACTGGTCCGATCATTTCCCGATAGGATGCTGTACTCCAGCCTGTCAAAATCAGAGCTGTCAGCATCAGAAGCTTGGACACAAGTCACAAAATGACCCCGAGGTGCCAGTTCGCTCACATATGATTCATATATTAACTGGTTGAAAACTGGAGGGTTGTCATTCATATCTGTTATTGAGATACTAACGAGAACCTCACTGCTTAGTGGTGGGAACCCATTATCGGTTGCCCTGACTTTCAAGCTGCACTGCTGTATGAGTTCATGATCCAGCATCCGGGCTGTCAAAATTAGGCCACTGCTGCTGTCTATATGGAAATAGTCAGTACTGTTAAAGGTGTCCTGGACTATCTGATACTGCACTATCCTGTTATTGTCAGAGTCAGCATCAGTAGCAACAACCTGCAATACAGGAGTCCCAATCAAAGAAGCTTCGGACAAAGTAGCATTATAAGTCGACTGATCAAAAACTGGAGGATTATCATTCACATCATTAATGATCAAGTCCACAGTGACCTCAGCTCGAGCGCCAGTGAGAGCATCACTGGCTCGCACCATCAGCCTGAAAAGAGAATTTATTTCATAGTCCAGTGGGCTGATGACACTCAGAACTCCAGTATCAAAGTCGATATTAAATTGGTTGTAGGGATCTCCATCGACAATGATATAAATGATACCCTGGCCTTCTGGACTGGTTGCATTTATGCTTAAAATTGGTGTGTGCATTTCTACATCTTCATTCACGGAAGCTGTATAGAAGGGCTTGTCAAAGACAGGCATAGCTTTGTTAACAATAGTAATGGGGAGCTCTACTGCTGCAGACAACGATGGGTTACCACCATCTTTTGCAAGAATAACAACCAAGTACTCTATATTAGACAAATCAGAATTGAAGGCTTCTTTTAAAGTGACGCTACCAGATCCTCTATCGATTTCAAAATGTCCATAGTCTTCCTTCAGAAGGTATGACACCTCACCATTTTCACCCTTGTCTTTATCAATAGCTGTCACTCGATATATCAGGGTACCAGGTTCAGCATCAACTTGCACAGCAGCATAGTATGGAAGCCCTACAAACACTGGGGCATTGTCATTTATGTCCTCAATGTAAACTCTCACCACTACTCGAGAGACACGAAGGTGATCTAGTTCACGACTTGCTTCCACCACCAGCTCATACAACTCCTGTTCTTCTCGGTCAAACGGGATGCCAGTTGTCTGAATAACTCCTGAGGTGGATTTGATTTTAAATTTGTTTCCTGGGTTTAATATGCTGTATTTCAAAGGCTCATTGAGGCGGTTACCAACAGCATTGACCACAGCGATCTTTGTGATATTGGTGCTGTTTTCTGAGATAGAAGTGGAATAAAAATTCTGTGTGAAATGGAGTCCACTATCCATGGCTTCTTTTACCATTATTGTCACCATAGCAGTGCTGTAAAATTTCCCATCAGATACTCTCACTATTAGCATATAATGGTCTTTGGAGAGGCTATTGTTTTTAATGGTGAGTACCCCTGTGGTTGAATCGATTAAAAAATGGTCCATATTGCCTTCAATTATACTAAATGTTAATTCAGGAGGGATCTCTGAATCTGGGTCTGCAGCCTTGACTTTGAGAACCTCAACACCAATATATGTGGGCAGGAGCAAAACTGTCTCAAATACAGCCTGGCTGAAGACTGGTGGGTTGTCATTGACATCAGTTACCTCAATAGTCACTTCAACAGGGCTCTCTGCTGTAAGCTGGGGATTCCCACTGTCTCTAACATGAACATGGAAATGGAAGTGGGCTATTGTTTCATGATCTAAATTTGCAATTGTTCTGATTGCACCTGTGCTGGAATCTACTGTGAAATACTTTTTTGCAGTAGATTCAACAATCTGGTAGACAAGCAAAGCGTTCTGGTTGCTGTCAGCATCAGTGGCACGTATCACGAGGGGACTGTTATTAGCACTCCGGACTATGCTATTTACAGGAGCAGCTTCACTTATGCTGCCCGAGTACTGAGAGAAGAGAAAAACTGGTGGATTATCATTTTCATCAACAATCTGAACGTTCACAGTGGCATTTGATGCCATGCCTGCCATATTTGTTGCCTGCACAATGAGCTGATAGGAGGAAGCACGTTCATAATCCAGGGCCTTTTGACTGGTGATCACTCCAGAATATGGGTTTATGGTGAAGACGCCATCAACATTCCCATCTTTAACCTCATAAACTAATGTTGACTGACTGATTGCAGAGAGAGAGATGACAGAAGTACCAATATCCACATTTTCATTCACCTCTGCTTGGTATTCTTTTAGAGTGAACTTAGGGTGGGAGTTATCTGCCATTGTCACAGATATCCGCACAATTGCTGTTGCAGACAGTGCTGGAGAACCTTGATCAGTCACTTTGACTGACAAAACAAACTGTCCCATTGTGGTTAAGTCTGGTTCCTTGAGCAATGTAATGATGCCTAAAACTGGTTCAATCTTGAATGTGTTTCCCGTATTTCCTAAAACACAAATATTGGAATCAGATTAGAAATGAAATACGATGCACTTAGTGATAACTTAAACCAGGAGCAATTAGCTACATTTGTTAAAGATGGTTACTGAAAAAACCAAACAAACACAACATAAAAGAATTCTAAAGGCTCTTCCATCCTTTCTTTCTGAAAGCTCAGATGATGGTATAGGTGTTCAAAGCATCAGAAACTCAGGTGATGCTATCTGCATCTCGATTCTGAGTATCAACATCTCAGCAAGAGCTGCATGTACATTACTCCTG